CCAAAGGATTACAAATCGTTCTACTATAAGGACACGTGCACATGAGTGTTCATTGCAGCACTGTTTACAATAGCAAAGACCTGGAACCAACCCAAATGCCCATCAGTGATAGACTGGACAGGGAAAATGTGGCACATATACACCATGAAATATTATGCAGCCATCAAAAACGATGAGTTCGTTTCCTTTGTGGGGACATGGATGAACTCAGAAACCATCATTCTCAGCAAACTGACACAAGAGCAGAAAATCAAACACCACATGTTCTCACTCATAGGTGGGTGTTGAACAATGAGAACACATGGACACAGGGAGGGGAGCACTACATACTGGGGTCTGTTGGGGGGAAATATGGGAGGGACAGCGGGGTTGGGGAGTTGGGGAGAGATAGCATGGGGAGAAATGCCAGATATAGGTGATGTGGAGGAAGGCAGCAAATTGCACTGCCACGTGTGTACCTATGCAACAGTCTTACATGTTCTTCACATGTACCCCAAAACCTAAAATGCAGTTAAAAAAAATCTGTCTGGAAATGCGGCATCCACTTACCCTCTGCGCTTTCGCTGGGAACTGCAATCCTGAGCTGCTCTTAATGGCCATCTTGGATCAGTTGTCAGAACGTCTTTAACTTGACTGAAATCTTAAATTTTTCTGGAGGAAAAATAAACAAGTATATATAATTAAAAAAATAATAATTTCATAAAGGGAGAGGAAGGGTGCTTGCCCTACCCTATCAGATATTAGAATATTGCCATGGTTTGAATGTTTGTCCCCTCTAAAAGTTAATCATGAATGTGGCAATGTTGAGAAGTAGGGACACACAAGAACAGAAAACCAACACTGCATGTTCTCACTCATAAGTGGGTGTTGAACAAAGAGAGCACATGGACACAGGGAGGGGAATGTCACACACTGGGGCCTGTCAGGGGGTGGGGAGCTAGGAGCTAGGGGAGGGATAGCATTAGGAGAAATACCTAATGTAAATGACGGGGTGAGGATGCAGCAAATCACTAGGGCACATGTATACCTATGAAATGAACCTGTGCTTTCTGCACATGTACCCCAGAACTTAAAGTATAATAATAATAATAAAAGAGGGGATTGGGTTAAGACAGCTTTGTTCTCATGAATGAATCTATTCATAGGTAGATTAATAAATCAGTGGGTTAATGGATTAATAAGTTATCGTAGCAAGGGGACTGGTGGCTTTATGAAAGGAAGTAAGACCCTTCCTTTGTAATACCTTCTGCTGCCTTGGGAATCTGCAGAGTCTCCCACAGCAAGAAGGCCCTCACCAAATGCAGCCCCTCCCGCTTTACTCCTCAGCCTCTATAACTGTAAGAAAGAAACTCCTTTTCTTTTTAAATTTCAAAGTTGCAGGTATTCTGTTATAAGCAACAAAAAATGGACTAAGACATGCATATTCTATAACCTCAATAAATAAAAGAGTATGATATTAATGTAAGAACTGGCAATAAAAATCAATAGACACATATGACATGGACTAACGATCACTAATACTTGAGAACTCAGAATGTGGATGAACTTGGAGGACAGTGTTGAGCAAAATAACTTAGGCACATAAAGATAAACGCCCTGTATTCTCATTGACACATGGAAGCTAAAAAATATGATCTCATACCAGTAGAGAGTATAGTAGTGGTTACTAGAGGAAGGGAAGTATGTGGGGACGGACTATGTAGTAAGAGATTGGTTAATACAAAAGTACAGCTAGACAGGAAGAATAGGTTAAGTGTTCTATCACACAACAGGCTGACTACAGTTAACTTATTGTATGTATTCAAATAGCCAGAAGATTATGAATGTTCCCAACATGAAGAAATGATAAATGTTTGAAGTGATGAATGTGATAATCACCCTGATATAATCATTACACATGGTAAACATGTATCAAAATCTCACACCTTACCCCATAAATATGTACAATGTTGTCAATTAAAAATAATAGAAAAGGAAAGTGGATGCAATTCGATAGGCTGCTGGTGGACTGGCAAATTTAATTTCTTGAACTGGATAGTAGGTATCGACAAATAGTTGTTGATTTATTGTTTGTAACCCTAAGTGTGTCCGAAGTATTTATTATTATTTTTCTACTCCTGGGAGAGATTATGAAATGTTTAAAAAAAAAACAAACAGTGGGTAAAGGGGAATATTTAAGAAATTGGAAAAATTTGTCCTTTGGAAGAAAAAACAAGTTGGAGTTTTCATTGCATAGAGATTTCCAGATATTACCAGGATTTCCAATATTCTTCCTCTCTGTGGACATACTATGTTAAATCTCCTGAAACTGATAAGCAACTTCAGCAAAGTCTCAGGATACAAACTCAGTGTCCAAAATTCACAAGCATTCCTATGCACCAATAACAGACTTAAAGAGAGCCAAATCAGGAACGGACTCTCATTCACAATTGCTACAAAGAGAATAAAATACCTAGGAATACAACTAACAAGGAACGTAAAGGACCTCTTCAAGGAGAACTATAAACCACTGCTCAACAAAATGAGAAAGGATACAAACAGATGGAGAAACATTCCATGTTCATGGTTAGGAAGAATCAATATTGTGAAAATGGCCATACTGCCAAAAGTAATTTACACATTCAATGCTATCCCCATCAGGCTACCAATGACCTTCTTCACAGAACTGGAAAAAACCACCTTAAACTTCATATGGAACCAAAAGAGAGCCCGCATAGCCAAGTCAATTCTAAGCAAAAAGAATAAAGTGGGAGGCATCACACTACCGGACTTCAAACTATACTACAAGTCTACAGTAATCAAAACAGAATGGTACTGGTACCAAAACAGACATATAGACCAATGGAACAGAACAGAGGCCTTGGAGGCAACACAACACATCTACAACCATCCGATCTTTGACATACCTGACAAAAACAAGCAATGGGGAAAGGATTCCCTGTTTAATAAATGGTGTTGGGAAAACTGGCTAGCCATGTGCAGAAAGCAGAAACTGGACCCCTTCCTGACACCTTACATTAAAATTAACTCCAGATGGATTAAAGACTTAAACATAAGACCTAACACCATAAAAACCCTAGAAGAAAATCTAGGCAAAACCATCCAGGACATAGGCATAGGCAAGGACTTCATGACCAAAACACCAAAAGCATTGGCAACAAAAGCCAAAACAGACAAATGGGACCTAACCAAACTCCACAGCTTCTGCACACGAAAGAAGCAGTCATTAGAGTGAATCGGCAACCAACAGAATGGGCAAAAATTTTTGCAGTCTACCCATCTGACAAAGGGCTGATATCCCAAATCTACAAAGAACTAAAACAGATTTACAAGAAAATAACCCATGCAAAAGTGGGCTAAGGATATGAACAGACACTTTACAAAAGAAGACATACATGAGGCCAACAAACATATGAAACAATGCTCATGCATCACTGGTCATTAGAGAAATGCAAATCAAAACTACATTGAGATACCATCTCATGCCAGTTAGAATCGCGATCATTCAAAAATCTGGAGACAGCAGACGCTGGTGGCATGTGGAGAAATAGGAACACTTTTACACTGTTGGTGGGAGTGTAAATTAGTTTAACTATTGTGGAAGACAGCGTGGCGATTCCTCAAGGACCTAGAAATAGAAATTCCATTTGACCCAGCAATCCCATTACTGGGTATATATCCAAAGGATTACAAATCGTTCTACTGTAAGGACACATGCACATGAATGTTCATTGCAGCACAGTTTAGAATAGCAAAGACCTGGAACCAACCCAAATGCCCATCGATAATAGACTGGAAAAGGATAATATGGCACATATATACCATGGAATATTATGCAGCCATAAAAAACGATGAGTTTGTGTCTTTTGCGGGGACATGGATGAACTCAGAAACCATCATTCTCAGCAAACTGACACAAGAACAGAAAATCAAACACCGCATGTTTTCACTCATAGGCCAGTGTTGAACAATGAGAACACATGGACACAGGGAGGGGAGCATCACACACTGGGGTCTGTCGTGGGGGAAATAGGGGAGGGACAGTGGGGGGTGGGGAGTTGGGGAGAGATAGCATGGGGAGAAATGCCCGATACAGGTGATGGGGAGAAATGCCCGATATAGGTGATGGGGAGGAAGGCAGCAAAACACACTGCCATGTGTGTACCTATGCAACATCTTGCATGTTCTTTACATGTACCCCAAAACCTAAAATGCAATTAAAAAAAAATAGAAAAAAAGAAAAAACAAGTTAGAGTTTTCTTTGCCTAGAGATTTCTAGATATTACCAGTATTTCCAATATTCTCCCTCCCTGTGGACATTCTATGTTTTGCAGGGCTACATGTCACTTTGTAATCAACAAGCTCTGATTAATTAATCAGGAGCCAGTGAATGATTCTCCATGCTCTTTCCTCTGTTGAAGACAACTGTGTCTAGGAAGATGGAGCTCCAAATTTTGCAGCGGGAACTCATTTGGTAAGACTCTCATCTGATAATGTGAGAATTGGGTACAGAATGTGTACCCAATGAATGTGTGTCTCTAGCGTGAGAATTCACAAAGCAGATATTAATGTGCGCTGGTCACTATGGGTTGTATTTGATGAGTTACAAGAAAAACAGTTCTGAAAAGTATTATCTGTTTGCCAGCAAGAATGAAAGGAAATAGGTCAGATATTTGGGGTCTTTAATGAGTTGAAACAGTAATTGCTTTCAACACTAAATAGTAAAAGACAAAATGTTAAAAGACTTTAACATTGAGCCAATTACAAAAATAAAATATGATTTAGACTGCACTTTTACTTATTGAAAGGAATTAATTAGGTAAAATGCCTTAGGGTAAAGATCAAACTAAGGGCCTGAGGCCCGGTAACCTTTTCTATTGGAAAAATAGCTCAGGTAAAAGAGCTTAAGGGTTCCATTCTCACATCAAATCCAGATAGACTCAAGATATCTACCAGGTCTTCAAGCTGTGAAAGGTGTAGGCACAAGAGTGTAAAGAAATACAGATGATGTGGGAAGTGTATTAGGTAAAGAGTCATAGCTGTAATTATTGGCACATGGAATTAAGTGGAATCCAATAGATTAGAAAAACCAACAAAGTTTTAAGAGAGTTGTATTGCTTAAGAAACTGTGAGCCTGGACTAAAAGTGTTTGAGAGTCTAAAACATGGGTGTCCAATCTTTTGGCTTCCCTGGGCCACATTGGAAGAAGAAAAATTGTCTTGGACCACACATAAAATACCTAATTCTAGCAATAGCTGATGAGCAAAACCAAAAACCAAAAACCAAACCAAAACCAAAAAAAAAAAAAAAAAATCTCATAATTTTTTAAGAAAGTATATAAATTTGTGTTGGGCTGCCTCAAAGCTGCCCTGGGCAGCATGCTAAAATACCTATCGGGCCCTGGATAGGAAGTAGGTTAAAAAAAACACTTCATATTCTGTAAGATCCATTTTATATGAGCCTAAGAAGGGAGAAAGGAAAGGAAAATTATCTCCCTGAGGGTGGAGGCAGAAGACACAGAGAAAAAGAACCAAGTTGGGTCCTCCAAGAGAGCAGAGTCCAGGCCTGACAAAGGTAGGGGGCTCCAAAAATGTCTGCCTGGAAGGAATTCAGAATTTTTCAGGAACAGGGATTCCGGTTTCCTTTTTCAATCATGAGACGTGTAAGCGCCAGATAACTTGTTATTTCAGTTGCTAGGTTTCCAAAGCTATGGGAGCTACCTATAGACTTGACATAGAGAGTACAGTATGCAGTAAACCCTTTGTTTCCAACGATTCAACCAACTGTGGATGGAAAATATTTTTTAACAATCCAATAAAAACAATATAATAAAAAATAAATAAAACAATATAGTATTAACTATTTACATAGTATTTACATTATATTAGGTGTTTCAAGTCATATAAAGATGATTTAAGTATATGGAAGGATATGTATAAGTTATGTGCAAATTCTGCACCATTTTATATCAGTGATTTGAGCATCTCTGGATTTGATACCTATGCGGGTCCTGGAACCAAGCCCCCACGGATAGAGAGACACAACTATATCACTCAGAGATTTTGGATTCTGGGCTTTGAGCTCAATGCCATGACTGAGGAAGACCTTGGGGTTATCTCTCTTAGAGGAGAAGTTGGAGTTGGTATAACTGTCATACATATCTGTGCCAAAGGAAGACTGCACTGAATATTTGGAGAAACAAAATGGTAAATTGTGGCAGGTACTACCAGTCCTTAGCAGTGTTTCCAGTACTCCTTTTTCACTCCTCTATTCAGTAGGCTGGGGCTAGATGACTGGTCTCATAGTCAGATGTGTCTATCAGGAGGCCACGCATGATTTCCTGGCCCAAAGTACATGAGAACTGATGGACCCATTTCCCACATTCTCCTCCTCTTTCACAGTGAACCCAAAGCTTTGGGATGAGACAGGGATGCCATAAGATTGAAGTACTCTGAAAAACTGAGAGTAAAGGCTTATAACAGGTAAAAGCACAGTCCAAATTCTTAATTAGTTTTTTTTGTTGTTGTTGTGAAGGGCATCTGTCCAAAAACTTTCAGGACACACATGGACTTTACATGAGCAAGAAAAAAAGTGTCTGTTTAGACACTGAGATGCTAGTGCTTTTGATAATATAGCCTGATCTCAATCTCTTGACCTCCAGCCTGGGTAACAAGAGCGAAACTCTGTCTGAAAAAAAAAAAAATATATATATATATATATATATATTGCCTGATCTCATAGATACATTTATCTTAGACCATTCTGTGCTAAATACATACATTGACACAGACAAACATACATGCCTACATATCTAATGGATTAGTTAAAAGAAAGTACATTTCAACCTTTAAACCAAGAAAATATAAGTAAATATTTAACATCTCAAATGAAGACTTTCTACATATAATCTAGTGAAAGACAACATAAGTGAAAAAGTGGACCTGACTACTTGCAAATAACACTTTTGCATATGAGAAATATCAACAACTAAATGAAAATTAATGACATGTGGGGAAAACATTTTTTTTTTGCAATAGAGGGTTTATGACCTTATATATAAGAAGCTGTTAAAAATGAGTATCTTAAAATATCAGCATCACACATACACACAGAAAGACAAATAATTTAAACATAATTCTTCCAATTTATGAAAGCTGAAATACAGACAGATGCCTTCCAGAGTCATCAGAATTTGAACCAGTGATGGGGAGCACATATGCATTCCTGTCCAATTAACAGTCATAGAAGATTGCCTGAACTGCCCCTGGGGTGTGCATATGCACCCTGAAAATATTTGACATACCAGAGCATACTTGGATGTGTATATACATATTTATGAGAAATGTGAAAATGGTTTTAGATTTTAATATGTTTCTATATGTCCAATTTTAAGCACTAACAATTTTTAAAAATATGGAAATATTATAAACATTTGTGTGAGGCAAGAGGAATATTGTTATGTCTTCTAGTTACAAACCATAGGATCCTAGAGATAAAAATGAACATTCCCTAAAGCTCCCATTTAAGAAGTTTTTGGTTGATGGCATGACCCTTGAAGGGACTGACCTCCTGAGAGAGTTGCTCATAAATAATGGTTACTTTTTATGATATAAATATTTTTGAAGAACAGCTAAAGTCTTCATTAAAAAAGCATTATGCTCCTATGAGATTTCCCCATCCCTAAGATTAATATCACAGTTGTGGAGACCTAAGTACTTTTTTATCTTACAATTGTGCATGAAGAATTATTTTGTGCAGTGCCATAGGTTAAATGCATATCATGAAATTCACTTTCCTCCTGATTGCTGTTCCTGTCACTTAATTCAATGAAAGCCCACGAAAATACGGTATGACTCAGAATACTGGAGCTGTGGCTAAGCAAGAAAAGTTCATTTAAAATTGATTTTCTTTCAGGAATCCTTGATATTCTTCATTCCAATTGTTCACCTCTACTGTAGGGCTCAGTAAACACTTAAGGAAGTTGCCGTACACTGCAGCCTGCCGGAGACATGAAGGAATGTACAGGAGGATAATCACAACATCATCAACCCAATTCTCCAAGGTAGCTGGCCAGTAATGCTGTTCTAATTGAATAACTTATCCACAGCTATTTCCCCTGGGGAAGCCGAAGGCTCAGCCTCGGCAAAGAGGCAGATGGTGCCGCATATACAATGAAACCTGTAATTTTCTCTCGCCATTGGCCATGTTAACAGTGGGCTGTTTCTGCTTATTCCTCGACATTTTATTTTAATAGTCCCTTCCCAAATTATAATGTACCATGAAGCAGCCAAAGATGGATTCAGTGATACATATCATATTTAATTTATCATACCTCTAGCTCACTGAACAACTCACTTGGTAGTCAGCAGCAGTTATATGTCAGGGACAGGTGCAAGCTGAGAAGAAAGCAACAGAAAGGGACCCAATTAGAGCCAAAAGGGGAGATGAGTCTTCAGGGTGGCATGGCATTCATCAGCAGCAAAGTGTGCAATATCAAACGCCTTCTAATTCTCATTTTTTTAAAACAGTAATTTGCCATAGAACAGGCACACCCAATGTATTTGGGAAGACAATGGGAAGGCTCTGTTTTCTGCTATAAGACTGATTCAACCAGTTGGATCTGGAAGGGGATAAAGGGCTGTGTGGCTGCTTGATTTTCATTGTCTAGTGGCAGGCAAAGTTGGAAAAGAGAGAAGTGCAGACTCTAAAGGCAAGCAGCGACAGCTCATCAGCGGTCTAACAACACGACAGATGACAGGCCCAGAGGCATACCCAGGGCCGCCAGCCCATCAGCCTGCGCAGGATGCCAGAGAGCAGCTGCAGCAATGGACGAAGATCACCCAGACTTGAAGGCTTGGGTCCTTGCTAAGACCATAGAGTCTTTGTGCTTTGGAAACAGCACTCCATACAGAGACCCCTTCCTAGAAAAGAGTGAAAAGAAACCAAGGTGGGATGGACACAAAGGAAGGAGACCATGCTAATATTCTTGTGCAATGCGTCCTGGGCAGAAACTATGTCATAAAGGATGTTCTATTCTGCAAAGCCACGTCTGTCTGTGGTTTGCCTCAGAGGAGGGACCTTTCATAGCTGTAGTGAGTAAGGGGGCCCTTGCTGATGTTATCAGATATGCCAAGGCACAGAAAAAAAGCACTGGAGGTCACAGGGTGGCTCGGGTCTGCCTGTGGTAATTGAAAACAGGTGATGAGATTGGGGTGATTTTATTTTGGAAAAGTAAATTAGTGCTGCACCACTCTGACATGGCTAATTCATGAAGCCTCTGGTTTGTATTACACACCCAACATGCCTTTCAGAAAGAAATGACACAACAATTAATGTGTCAAATAATAATGTGCCACTCAGAGAAAGATAATTGTACCCAGCGTCAGGTAGTTATTAGGTCAGAACAAATGCTCATCCTTTCAAAGGCAACAGTGTCTATTCACTCTGGCAGCCTACTGTAAGTACAGTACTGTGTTGATAATCACAGAGGCTGAAGCCAGGAACACTGGGTTTTATCTGATTTTTCTCCATTTGGAATTATACTCTGATGATTCCCTAAACAGCAAACTCAGTCATGTGAAACACAAATGAGTGTGATGAAAGACAGATTGTTATACTGGAGGAGAGGCTGTCTCTGTCTGTGCTTTTCATATAATATAGAGCATGAGGACTGTTCCAAAGAAGGTTTGAGCATATGTAACAAAAACTATCAGACCTGAGTTTGCTCATGTGTAAATGATAGTCTTCCCTTCTGCTGATTTAATGCATGAGGACATCAATCAGTCACATCATGGCCTCAGAAGTCCTTGTCCAATTTCTGGTGCTGTAACTTACTCGATGTGGGATTTGAACAAGTCATTTAACCTCACTATGATTCTGTTTCCTCATTTGAAAAACAGAAATAGAAGAGCCAGCTGTATATTTAGTTCCACATCTGTTGGGAGGTCAAACAAGAAAGGACATGAAAAGATGTTTGTAAATATAAAGAACCCATGTAAATGTAAGACATTAGTTTATTAATGCTCCAGATTAATTCATGTTCGGTGAATGATAAAATGTGATGTCTTTTGAACAGAGACAGTTTTACTAAGAAAAATGCCTAAGAAAAATTAGGCAATGGCTTCTGTCCTTACAAATGGAGAACTTCATAATCAATGGAGGCTCTCAAAACCACCTGCCCAAGACTGAACTAAATACTTCATTCAACCAAGAATGAGGAACTGAAATACATGATTATTATATATGGGTATCCTTCTGTTTCATCTACTGAGGCACACTTGTGATGAGATGTAAAAATTAGCCATCTTCAGAAGGAGAAACACTGTATTTGGGGGTATTTCTTCTGGACAGACAATTGGCCTTGTTATTGTCAAAAGCTATTTAAAATAAATAAAACACCATTTTATGCTATATAAAATATTCAAAGCAACGATGTTTCAAGGTATAGCTTCCATACCTTGTCCTCCCATGAAGATGCATTCTCAACTGATATCTTTCATAAAAGAAAAATTTGCAGTGTGGTATTTGACCTTGCATAGCTTATGACTGACATTCAAAGAAATCTTGCTAGGAAAAAAAAAACGAATATATAACAAACAAATAAGAGTTGGTGACTTAGCCTGTTGAAAACAGACACTTTGCTAATTTGGATTAAAGAATATAGGTATGACTGCTCTAACATCATATAAATGCTGCCAAAAAACTCTTGTATTCTGCAAAAGAATACCTAAAAACAAACAGAGCTGACAGGCAAATACAATTGGCTGTGTGAGCCCCACTTGAATTTTTTTTATGATTCTATCCTGAAAGTGATATTCCATATTTCCATCTTTAGATACTTAATAAAAGTAAATCACTAAGTCCAATCCACCTCAAGGGGAGAGGGATTAAGAGAGAATTGGGGGGCTATCTTCTATCTTTGAAGCCACCTCTTAAAGGTAAAGGAGTGTTTAAGGAAGAGAAGACAACATAAATGGAGACGCCCAAGAGTTGGTTCTTAGGATCATTTGATAATGGCAGCCACAGAGTGAGGCAGTGGCAATAAGAATGAACAATCCAGCATAAGCCTTGTCCTCTCTTCCTGGAGGACAGAGGGAGGTATTAGCAGTGGGCTTAGGTTTTAAGTGTGAATATAAGTAATTCAAAACCTAAGCTGTTGGAATTCTAAATTATTTTGAGCTTTAAAGGAATGTGATTATGAGGCCTGAGTTACATGGCAGGCAGCTGCAACCTAACAGCAGCTGTATACTGTGCTCCTCTGATTATAGATTAGCTTTCTTCCTTACCTACGTTGTTTTTGTAAAATGCTGTAAATGACTACAGGGCACCAGGGAAGACTCCTTCCCTCTTCACCGTTGATCTTCATTAGAGATTAACTTCCCTCTTACCTTTCTCACACAAAGACCTCATAGCTATCACACTGTCTCAGGATGGAATGTTAAGTACACTTTCACTGTAGAAAGAACATGAAAGCAAACCCTATGGAAAAGAAAACAAACTAATTAAATTGTTGTAACTCATAAACCAGACTTGTGTATAAAATGTGATAACCTTACTAAACATCTTTGTTTTTTGCCTATATAAGCAAGAACTTAGCTTTCGTCTTTGGGGCACTGACCTCGTGTATCTGGAGTCTGTGTCTCCTGGATGCCAGTCCCCAGGTTTTCACTCAAATAAACTATTTAAAACTGGATTCTGATCCTTTTGATTATTCCAGGTTGACAGAAGCAACTTGGGAGGAGTGGGGCAGGTCAGAGTCTCTTGAATTGTTTGGTAATTCCTGGCATAATTCTAAGGTATAAGCCAGCTGCTCTTTTGTCGAGTTAATCCCTAGAAAATGATCATTTTATTAAATATATGTACCATTTTAAAATAGCAAATAGTGATATGAAGGATGATTTTCTTAGACCTGATCATCTCTTTCAGGCTTTGTGGTACTTCTGTTTGCTATGAAAAACTATCCCAGAGAGTTAGCCACTGTTTTGAGGTCCCTACGTCAGGTCTTGCTCCCAATAATCATCCCCTATTCCCTGAGATTTTCACATTTCCTCCTACTGCTGAGGAGATCTTTATAATATTCTGGTTTCTTGTTTCAACTCCACTGATTTTTATTTCCTCCCCAGTGCCTTTATACATGTTCATAGGACCATGGCCATATATATTGTCCATGAATGATGCTTGGGATAATTCCAATTCCAGCGCCCTACCCCAGACAATTAATTCAGAATCTCTGGTTATTCTAATGCGCAGCCAGGATTGAGAAACCCTAATCTCCAAAATCTCAATTTTAAGCATCCTATCCATTAGCCAATAGTTTCTACTCATTCTCATTCAAACACCCACCCCCTATTTCAATTACTTTTTAACCTTATCATGACCTCTAATCCATTGACACTTTGACAATTCATCTCTCTTCTCTTGTCCTCACATTTTAGGTACTACACTATAGTTTGACACTACATAGCCACTTCTATTCAGGGTTCATAATATCCTGATCATTCTATTTATTATGCTCACCTCACAAAATTTCAACTTTGGTTAAATTAACTACCCACTTAGTTCATGTTGGCATTCAAGCAGCAGAATATTGCCAAGGAAAATCACACAAATAGGTAGAATGGTCTTATTTCAAATTATTATCAAAAGTGCATATGGACCCTTGACATTGCGAGATGTCTCTCTAACTTCCCTGATTCTTCTAGATGATTATGACATACCACCTCTATAGTGGGTTGAATGGTGTCCTCCAAAATACGGCCGAGTCCTAACTCCCAGTACCTGCGAATTTGACCTTTTGGGAAAATAGGGTGTTCTTACAGGTATAGTTAAGGATCTCAGAATGAAATGATCCTAGATTTAGGGGGTGCACTATATACAATGACAAGTGACCTTATAGGAGATAGGAAAGAGGCCCAGGGAAGAATCCCATGTGAAGACGTTGCCACAAACCAAAGGATGCCAGTAGCTACCAAAGACTGGGAGAGACAAGAGACGATTCTCCCCCCAGAGTCTTCAGAGAGGGCATGGTCCTATCAACACCTTGATTTTGGACTTCTGGCTTCTAGAACTGTCACAGAATAAATTTATATTGCTTTTTATATAGCCTCCCAACCTATGGTAATTTGCTATGGTGGGAAACACATACAACCTTTCATCTCGAAACTAATCCCTTCTCTTTCTCTCACTCCCCACCTTTGCCCCTACTCCCTGGATGAGTTGTTTTTATTATTAAAATAGCTGCAATCACATGAAAACAATCTCTTGTTCCCACCAACCCCATATACCCACCTGCATTTGCACACACCATCTGCCTTTTCTTGCCTTGGGGTTCCTCTTCTATCAAAGGACCCCTGTCCAATAATCTTTTTTATTCAGCTATTATTGGGTGCAAAAGTAATTACAGTTTTTGCCATTGAAAGTAATGGCAAAACTACAATTACTTTTGCACCAACCTAATATTCCCAGTTACCCCTCCTCTGTCCTGTACTGTCATCAGTTGTCTACAAAATCATTTCTGTTGGCTTAAAAACATGCCTTGAAGTGTATGTGTGTGTGCGTGTTTGTATATGTACATGCTTTTGACCTTGACTTCATACCCCTTTCCAAATATTGTTTATTTTTCTGCTCCCCTGACAGTTACATTCCTCAAAAGAACTGCTCATATTGACTGTTTCTACTTTCTTACTTCCCTTTTCTGTCCAATATACCTTGATCAAGTTTTTCTTTCTACCACTTCGCTGAAAGACCTCCTATAATGATCTGTAATGTCTTGCATTTTGCTAAACCCAATGGCTAACTCTGTTTTCATTTTACTCAAACTTGCAGCAGTTGACAAAATTCACCGCTCCCTCCTGCCAATTCCTGCATCAGGCATTTGTCAATCTTAACTGTTATTATTGCTATGACAAGGTGAAATAATTGGGGAATGACATTTTCGAGGGGCTGGTGATTCTGACTCTTGTCTTTGTGCTTTTTGGTGTGTCTATTTAAAGCTTGATAGAGGGCTTGGGATTGATTATTTTGTTTTGCTTTTATTACAGTCATGTTCATGGACCAAATGTTCTAGGAACCAAAGGACATTTACATATGGCCTGCAAAGTCACAGTCTAGGACCAAAATAATTTAAGCAAAAATGGAATCTCTATTAGCAGGGGTTCACTGATAAGACATAAACATAAATTAAGATTGCTAAATACTGTAAATAAGCAAATTTTCTAAACTTTTCACATCTGTTATGCTTGTTTTTCTGTTTTAGTGGCAGATAAAGAATGTAGAGGGATTCCATGCCAGTTCTCACAGTAAGATCTTAAGCTGGGAACATATAGCTTAGTATCCAAAGTAGGGCTGCCCTATGGATGATTTTATGATGCCAGATGTGAGAGGAGACAATCTTGTTTAACACGAATGTTTCCAAGTATTGTCCTGAATATGACAAATGAAGACTGGTGGGAATCCAGATTAGTACTCAGAGGGAGCAGGAGTAGAAGGGCTGCATGAAGGTGATTTGTGTCTTTGCTCATGAATGTGCATGCTCCCCAGGGAGAGTGGGAAAAGGCTAAAGCAAACAATGAAGAAAGAAAAAGAGAGAGCGAGAGAGAGAACACAACAGCCACTGGCCACCAACAGACAAAGAAATTGGTGTTTACATATCCCTGTTCTTTTTCCTTCCTGGAGGGATAATGTTCACTATATTTTCCCCATGGGACTAACGGGCTTCTCCAAGTGACCACTGTGGAGGCTGACTGACTATGCTCTTCCCTACTCTCCTACTCTGCAAACAACGTCCTTTCTAAAGTTCTTGTTTTTCCCAAATAACTTCATGCATGCAAAGTGTTGTTTCAGGGTCTATTATGGAGGCATGAATTCTAAGACACGTAAATAGTTAGATGTCCTGGTACCAGAAGAGGGTTAAATATGCTATGGGTCAAAATTCAAATGTTAAAATTCTACCTAGCAATACTTCAGAATGTGACCTTATTTGGAAATGGGGTTGTTTGCAGATGTAATTAGTTAAGATTAAAGTGGACCAATAATTCAGTAGAACTGGAGTCCTTATAAAAAGGAGAGTATTTGGACACAGAGATAGACATACACACTGGAAGAATTCCATGTGAACACAAAGGCAGAGATCAGAGTGGCTATGTGCTGCATTGTATATCCCTAAAATCTTTACATTGAAGCCTTAACCTTTGAGGTGACTGTATTTGGAGACAGGTCCTATATGGAAGTAATGAAGGTTATTTGAGTTCATAAGGGTGGGGCCCTAATCCCTAATTACATCTGCAAACAAGGCCATTTCTAAATAAGGTCACATTCTGAAGTAGTGCAAGGTACATTTGAATTTTGACCAATAGCATGTATATACCCTCTCCTGGGTCCAGGACATCCAACGGTTTAGGTTATGTCTCAGTATTCACACC